TGGACCGAATGACCTTGTGCACCCATCCTTCTGTCTTAGCTGCAAGAATAATCCTCACTCCCAGCCATTTCCAGTTTTCTTTCTTACAAAAGATGAAAGATAGAAATAAGCTCTTCATTCAAAAGTTACTTTATTATACAAACAACTAAATTCCAGCCTGGTTTAATCCAAGTGCCATCTAGTTTGCATACAGAGAACTAGGGTGCATATAGGAAAGAACGCATGCACACTCCAGTCTTCAATGGCCAGAACATCATAATAAACACATAGAAAAACAGCCTTTACTCTGGAGGCTTGTATGGCAAAGCCAATTGTTTTGACCAGCTCATTAATATACTATATCTAGTTTGTAAATTCCAGCTACGTATTTTATATGTCATTATGATCAATGATTCACAGAATCACAGAATCACCCGGGTTGGAAGGGACCTCAAGGATCATGTAGTTCCAAACCCCTGCCTAGCAGGGCCACCAAACATATACATTCATATCAGGTTGCCCAGGACCCCGTCCAACCTGGCCTTGAACACGTCCAAGGACGGAGCATCCACAACCTCCCTGGGCAGCCCGTTCCAGGGCCTAACCACTCTCCTTGTAAAGAACTTCCCCCTAACATCCAACCTAAATCTTCACTCCCTCAACTTGGATCCATTTCCCCTAGTCCTGCTATTGTCAGCCCTTCTGAAGAGTTTACTCCCCTCCTGGGTGTAGGTTCCCTTCAGCTATTGATAGGCTGCATGATTGTGGAAGCCCAAAGGGCAATCTCTCATTTTCAACAGACTTCCTTTTGGACAGAGATGGAATTTATTACATTTAAAATTCATCACTCCTCTTTGTTTGCAACACTGTCCTCTGCCAAACTCCTCAACACAATCAGCTGAAGTCTTCTACCTGAATTTCTGGGATGACTGTGACCAGTATTCCTTCACAATGCTCAGATGTGCACTGTCTCCCATGAGCATCTTACTGGACGCAGCATGCTGCAGCATCTTTGCAACAGAACCAAGGTTTCTTCGTTCATCTGTAGTCAGCTGCCCTCCAGCTGAAAGATCCATTAGGTCAAATGCATCCGGTGCAACCGTGGCCGGATTCACGTAGCGGTGATAGAGTAAGTTGCCAACAATCTAGGACAAGTTGAGGAGAGAAAAAAACACGTGCAAAACCAATGGCACAGACCTCCACTGAGTTTTACTGACACTACTCTGAGTGAGTTCTGACCAATTACTTTCCTGTGAGCTGTGGGCCCCGTTCAAGATGCAGGGTCTACTGCGCTGCCATTAATAAGCACATGCTGTCCCTAAGAATCTTAGTTTCACACTGTAACATAGATACATACACTAAATAAATGCACAACTCTCAACACAGAAGTGGTAAGACTGACCACTACTAGCTCCAGAACAACACAACTGCAGATATTCCTACACACAAAGGTTTTCAAATTTCACTTTGAATACCACCTGTCCATATATTTTTAGAAGTTACCAAAGAATTCCTCAAACAAGCGTAAAAGTTACTCTGAGAATTAAACCAAGCTTAGTCTAACAGAAGGCAGAACAACTACGCTACAGAGAAACCTGGTACTGCAGTCTCACTAAGGGATAGGAGCCAATTCCTAACACAGGTGTGCAGAATTGACCACCATCTCCAACAAAGCAAAAATGGGGAAGCGTGGCAAACCAAGGAGCTGAGCTGAGAAAACAGCAGCTACTTTCTGCCCCTTTTCCAGAGCACTTCTCTCTCTCTCAGAATACCTCTTTGGTTAACAAGCAACGTTTTTAGCTACACATCCCCATTTTGAAGACGAAACATTTTGAAGAGTAAACTCTTCAAAAGGGCTGACAACAGCAGGAATAGGGGAAATGTTTTAAGTTGAAGGAGGGAAGATTTAGGTTGGATGTTAGGGGGAAGTTCTTTACAAGGAGAGTGGTTGGGCCCTGGAACGGGCTGCCCAGGGAGGTTGTGGATGCCCCGTCCTTGGACGTGTTCAAGGCCAGGTTGGACGGGGTCCTGGGCAACCTGATCTGAGTGTGTATGTTTGGTGGCCCTGCTAGGCAGGGGGGTTGGAACTACATGATCCTTGGGGTCCCTTCCAACTCGGGTGATTCTGTGATTCTGTGATCCCCAATTAAACACAACTGAGAGGAACTCAGAAACGTTTAATCCAGAAGTAAGAAACTCAGAAGCACCGATGATGAGCGGTATTTGACATTTCAAAACAAGTCCAATTCACCCAGCTAAGTGAGCAGCAATGAACGCTGAGGCTTTTTTTGTCTTTTACTTCATAGCATTGCTTTTCCACCACTTCCCTTGAAGTGTGTTAAAAACAAAACAAAACAAAAACAACCAACAACAGAAGCCTCAAAATCTGGTGAACATCAAGCACTGGAAGAAACACAGAACTCTGACTGGGGACGGATGGGAGCCAATCAAGAGTTTATAGACACAGATTGAAGGGAGGACAGGGACAGATGACGTAGCGGGGGATCTACAGGCCAACCAACCAGGATGACCACCAAGTGGATGAAACCTTCTCATGGGCAGACAGGAACAGCTGCATGCTGTGATTCTATGAACACGGCCTGTGTTGACAAGGACCACAATGCTCATCTCGTTCCAACCCCCCGCTGCGTGCAGGTTCACCAACCGCCAGCCCAGGCTGCCCAGAGCCACATCCAGCCAGGCCTTGAATGCCTCCAGGGATGGGGCATCCACAGCCTCCTTGGGCAGCCTGCCCGAGTTGTGGGCAGAGATTGGCTTGGTAGAGTAAGATCTACGGTATCTGTATCTATGAGTTAACACAGAAGAAATGCTTTGGGGCTTTTCTTGGCCTATCTCTTCATGAGATTCACTTCCAATAGTCTCAACACCCCTGTCACAGGATGATCTTTACACCTTTCAGAAGAAAGCCATCTTGAGCTGATGGAAAAAAGCTGGTAGCAATTGGACAGATGCATGCAATGAATCCAGGGATGGTTTGGAACGATTAACAGAGCAATGCAAAGCAGCTGAGCAACTTGTAGATAAAAACAGTAGCAACAGCTTCCATACCCGGCCTCACCATTCTGACATCCCATCTGGTTAACCCAGGACTTGTAAATATCCACCGGATCCGTTCTGACGTTGAGCGATTCGTCCTCAATTATTTCCTTCACAACGGGGGCCAAGATCTGCCTCAGTGCGTTCTGACCACGGGCACCACGGTTGAAAGAGCGCATCTCAAAAATACAGAGGAAACAAAAGGAGTTCTACACAGGCACAACTATTTTCTTTCACTATTTCAACAAGTAAGCAATCAGCAACAAAAGCCATTCACAGCATGCCGCTATGGGAAATCCAGCAGCAGAGAATAAAGCACATACATGCACTTTCCTGAACTACTACTCCAAGAAAAGATAATAACAATTAAACAAACCTTTTAGACGTTACCTGTTTGAGGGCACATACCATCCTCATACTTAAAAGCATCAAAAAAGGCATGACTGCCTCCAACACTGTATGTATTTGGTCTTCCTAGCAAGTTGTCAAGCTCCGTATCAGCCACAAGTCATAAACACCAAACTCCTAAGTGACAATCAACTCCATTATGCCGACAGACAGCCAGAATCCTTAAGCCTGACAGCCAGTAAAAAACCCAAACCAGACAGCATCTGATTTTCAGCCTCCTCATCAGTTCTGGAAAACAGTGACCTTCGCGTCAGCTTCACTCTGGCCTGTAAAGCCCAAGCTCGCAGTCTGTGCCAAGTCCTTCTTACTAGACAGCAGAGAACTTAGACTGGACTGAATCTTAGGAAAGCACTGCAGATCAAAAATAGTGCCTCCCTGAGCAACAAAGCATTGGCTAAAGAAAAATGGCTTTAATCCTAAAGAACAAAGGTAATTCCTCCTCCTTCCAGGTTACAGAAAGGACTGACGTGAAACAGCATGAGCAGAAGGCAGGGACAGTTCAGCATTATCAGCAAATGAGCACAGGACATCACACAAGAACAGCTTCAATTTTAGCAGCGGCCCAAACTGAGGCAACAGCAAGGCTGTGTCCTACGCTACAACGTACTTGATCTCTTCCTGCAATGCTGTTTGCAACAGCCGCAACAGCAGAGATTCCTCTCTCTGACTGGATGCGTAGTTATGCAGCATGAAGATGGCTGAATCCATGAACTTTGTGGGTTTGTTTTGAGGCATCTGCAAAAGCAGCTTGGCCAAGTATGTTGGAGCAGTCTAAAACAAGAAGAAAAAGTACTTAGTGCACGTGTATAATCAATGACTATTAAGATGTTGTCATTATGGAATAAACAAGAGAGTTGGACAAAGCAGACTAAGCTAACAAAAGGAGAATAAATAGAAGGCTTACCCCTATCCTGGGCTCACTTACAAAACTCCAGCAGAGCAGATCTCCAGACAAGATCCTTCCCCACTGGTAGCCAGCTCTTAAACAGGTCTAGGAGGGCTGTAGCCTGGCTGCACCCCTTCCAGCAGCACAGCTGCATTGCCTTCACCTGTGCTCCTCTGCCTGACTCACTGCTCACCTCAGATGATCAATCAGAGGTTCAGGCCACGACTCCGCAGTTCCCATACAGCACGTGTCCACAAAAGCCAACACCACAAAGACAGACAGCGCCTCAACACTGCAGTGCAGAAGCACAGACTGTTCCAATACACGTAAGCATCTATGACAAGAGCAGTGAATGAAAAGCTGCATACCTCAAGTAGAAAAGATGCTGATAGGCTTCCAGCTTTTCCCTCTCCTCTTTGCTCCAAGCTTTCAAACCCCCCTTTTGCTCGTTCAGCGTCATCACGTCACAGAGCTGTTCCTTGTTCTTCCTGCTAAGATTTTTGCTATGAGAAACAACATCCTGCAAAGAACACAGAGGGACAGATTCCACATTTAAATAACACGCAATATGGGAAAAAGCTGCACGATAGCACTTCCTTTTGTGTGGATAAGGCAGTCAAGGTACATCAGGAGATCATGAAGTGAAACATTATCTGTTATAGCAGCGATTTCTGTCTCGTCCCCACATTCCAGAATTTGTTGAGAACCTACAAGGACTAATTGCTTTGAGCAGGGACTGTTTCCATTTTGCTGACTCACTGCCTCCACTGCTCTGATAACGATGATACTTTTTGCTGCCAGCATCAGCCCAACAGCTGCAGCCTCCTTTGGAACTGAACTTTACTGCTGCCATGGTTCAGATTTTACACAAGGTCAAGCATAGCACTACGCTATTCAGGACCAAAGGAAAAGGTGACTGTAACTTCCGCTTGAATTAAAAAAGGCACCGCTGTATCAGCAATGTTGTTCTTGTGGGCAATCAATCGTCAGCAAAGTGACAGAGGGGGCTTCCATCAGCCAACCAACACCAAGCAGCCCGAGTACATTTCCTGCTCCAAAATCACCTCCCCCTTCTGATACAGCACACAAAACGTGAGAAGAAATTAAGGTGTGCAAGTCCATGACTCATGTAACCACAAGTGAACAGACAAACAGTTCTCAGAGCCTTCAAGCATACCATCTATTGCTTTCCCTTGGTCCCGAGTGGGTTCTTTTCTGGTGCTTTGTTTTTAAAACACTTGAAGCCTTGATGTTTCTGCTGCAGTTCTCTTTCTAGGGATACATAGTAATTAGTGGAACAGTTCGGAACTTACTGGGAGGAAAACCTGTAACTCTGGGGGAAATAGTTCCCACTGAATCTGAGTAAGTGAGATCCAGGCTCAGAAGGTCCTCATGCTAACTACCATTGGCCTCAATTCACTCTCCTAGTCTCCCAGCACTGCATTTCCTACCTGCAGTGTCATTCTGTTCTTCACTAGCAGTCCAATCTTGATGTCCATGAGATTGAGGTCATTTTCAAGCTGTTGATTAGATCGGATCAAGCTCACAACTTCCCCACACAGTTTCATTAGCTCCAGCTCCTCCTGAAAATCTGGGTCCGATCGAGCAAGTGAACAAATTTCCCAACCACAGCCATAGGTGGGTTTTCAGCATTAACTGAAAACAAGTGACAAAACATCAGAGGACAGGAAACAAATTAAGGC